ATTTTTGGGATTTTTTTCTTCATATTTTTTAAGTATTGTCTAAATGATTTGAATCTTGAAAATGGAAAGAACATCGTCGATGGAAAGAACAGAAGTAGTAATCAATGGGCAAAGAAGCAATTGTTAGTGGTGATGTGGGACCCATTTGAATGAATTTGGCGCGTTTTGGCCACGGTAGCATGACATGGCAAAAGTTTTTGTGCATATCATCACTTTTTTAAATTTTACTCTCCACATCATCAAAAAAATATAAAAAATGCCACATAAGCAGAGTTAACGGCCCAAATTAACAGAAGGACTAATGGAGTGCATTTCATATAGTTAAGGAATCAAAAAAGTGCAAAAAATTGTTGAGGGACCAAAAAAGTGCAACTCACTAAAGTTGAAGGACCAAATTTAGCATTTAACCCATTGAAAAATCATCATTGATAGCCTCATCATCCTTTCCCTGTGAACTTGGCCTATGGGAATTGCTATTATCTTCATCCATAAACCCACTGAGTGTGCAATACTCTTCAAACATCTTGTTTAGAGTACTTTTCACTTTGTAACTTAAGGTCTCTACAATAATCCTATCATAGAGTTTCCCAAAAACAAATTCAACAAAACTCAGCTTATATCTTAGGTCTAGCACACATGCAATAAAAATTAAAACATTCATGTTAGATGCTGCTCCCCAATACTTCTCATGCTTTTCCTTCATTTTTTTTAGCTATTGTAGAAAACAATGGATCATTACTTCCACTACACTTGTTCAACAAGTTAAGAATTGTGGAGAAGTCATGAAAATACATGTGAGATGTGACATGAGTAGACCTTGAAATATGATCAATGGCATCATAGAAAACTTTTAAAAATTTGACAATTTTTTTTGCATTATCACAATCTTCAAATTCAGGAGGACCTTTCTTTCTTTCTTTCACTCACATTCTCTCCAAAGGAAAATTCCATCAAATACAACCCATCAGTATCATGAAGCCTCTCAAAAGCCTTTTGAAACTTAAGGGTAGCTTCAAGTATCAAATAGGTGGAGTTCCACCTTGGTGAAACATCTAAACAAATTAATGATTTACATTGGATTTTTTCATGTTCAACACAACCTTTGAATCTTTGCATCCGAGAAGGTGAAGCTCGTACCTACCTTATTGCATTTCTAATTTTCAAGATTGAATCATGCAAGTTCTTCAAACCGTCATTGACTATGAGGTTTAGAATGTGTGCACAACATCTCATATGCAACAGCTCGCCATTAAGCACACTACCCCCCCCAATCTCGAATCTTTTTCCTCAAATAGGCAACAGCAATGTCATTAGATGTAGCATTATCAATAGTAATTGCAAAAACCTTCTCAATCCCCCATTCAAACAACTTACTTTCTAAAGCCTTTCCTATAGTTTCACCTTTGTGGTCAATAATTTGACAAAAACCAATAATCCTTTTGTGGTAGGTCCAATCATTGTCTATGAAATGGACAATCAAACACATATAATTTAGATTTTGAATAGAGGTCCAACAATCAGTGGTAAGGCTCACATGCTGTAAGTTTCTACTAAGCACATCTTTAACTTTTTCTTCTTTGTTATGTAAAGCTTAGAAACATCCCTTGCAGTAGTGATTCTAGATGGAACTTGAAATAAAGGTTGTGTAATACTCATGAAGTATCTAAAGCCATCCCCTTCTGCAAATCTAAAGGTTAACTCATCAACAACAATCATCTTGGCAAATGCTAGTCTACTTGCTTCCTTATCAAAAGCAACAATGGTCAAGTTACAACCCACTTTCTCTTCTGACTCCTTTGTCTTGGGTTGAAATGACAGAACCTTTTGTTTAGGATCCCTTTCTTTAGGAAATTTCCTACATTGGACCCTTAGATGATTACTCATAGTTGAAGTGCCATTTTTTGAGCTTCTAAATGAATAATTAGTTCCACAATAATTACAAATAGCTTTAGAAGCACCTTTAATTTCCTTCTTAGTAAAATGTTCCCATACCCAAGAAGGAGCTGTAGTTGGTTTCCTCTTTTTTAGTTGCAAGCCTTCTTCATCGGAATGAGCAGCATTAGTTGGTGTTTGTTCTGAAGCTACTACACTTGCTATTGTTGCTTCCTTTTGAGCAGCCTTGGGAGAGGTAGCAACCCCTTTTCTCTTCTTGGAAGGCTTAGGCATGGTCTCTGATGAGCTAAATTTATATACATATTAATAGGGAATTTTTACTTTGATATTATTGATATTTGGATGGGTTTTATGAAATTTTGTTTGATTTTACATGGTTTCCATTCTTTGTGTAGGAAAGGATTTAATTGGAAGAAATCATACTTTTTAGAAGTAAATTGAAGAGATCAGAGACTTGAGGATCAAATTGTGCAGAATCCAGAAGTCAAGAACCAATTTTGTTATTTTACTATTGAAGAAATTGCAAAAGGAGGCCAAAAACCCGACACGGGTGTAGTGTCGACACATGATTGGGGTGTCGACACCATGCATTAAAAGTCCAGAATCAGATTCTGTTTCCTATTTTGTGTCAACACGTAATCCGAAGTATCAGCACCACGTGATCAGCATCCAAAATTCAGTTTTCTATTTCTGTTCCAAGTCCTACTTCTATTTCAATTAGAGTTTCTAAAATCCTATAAATACCCATATAAATTCAGAATTAAAGGAGTTTTGGAGAGGCTAGTGGTAGCCTTCTTTTGGGCATTATTGGAGATCAAAATTGAGGTTCCATCAACAATAGAAGATCAAGGAGTTTGATTTCCTCAAATTGAGTTTTGTTTTTCCTTGGGTTTTTATCTATTGTTTGATATTTGAATGTTCATAACTTTGATTTCATATTTTATTATTTTTATTATGAACTGATTTATTCTATTAGGGCTATGATATAATCTAATCAATTCAATATAAATTTTGTGATTTTATGCTTTCAATTAAAGTTATTCGCATGAGGAGTTTATATTATTGAACTTAATGCATTGGAAGCCTGATCATCTTTCAATTGATTTAGTGATTTATGCATGAACTTGAGAAAGAATTGCGTAGATTAGACCAATAATAATATAAACCGTGTGCTAAACTATGAGACCGAGAGGTAATTAGCTCACATGTTGTAGTGGAGGAAGAGAAGAGAGTTAGTAGCTCCCCCTTCTTAAGCTAGAGGTTTCCATAGAAACTAATGCTCATTAGTTTGTTTAAAATTACATAGAGATATGATTAATTTAACAAATCAGTGAAGGATTAACTTGACTTGAGAATGTTAGTTAATTAATTTAGGGAAATCCGCCATCACATGCAATAACACTCAATAATTTGGTAATCCAGAATTATATTGATTGATTATGGTGAAATCAATGCCTTAGTACCTCTTATTTTGGTTAGGTTTATTTGTTATTTTCTTTTTATTGTTTTTTTAGTTAAACTTTCTTCCCATTTGGTTGTTCAAATAAATTTGGATTAATTATTTTGGTACTTAGTTAGACACAATCCTCGTGCGTTCGATACTCTTCTCATCATTATATTACTTGAAGCGACTAGTACACTTGTTAAGGTGATTTTAGTGCATCAAGTTTTTGGCGCCGTTGCTAGGGATTGTTGATTTAATTAATATCGAAGTTGGTTAATTTTAGATTTAATTTGAACGTTTTCTTTTCTTTTATTTCTTTACTTTGATTTTTTTTTCGTTTCTTTTGTTTTTGTTTTTGTAGGTCTACTATGGATTGAGTTGTCTTAAACATTGATGTGGATTATCAATGGCTTGCGCCGGAGATGAGGGCACAAGTTGAAGCAGTAACTATCTTGCTAGCAGAAATTGACGATGATGAACTTGAATGATTTCAAGCAGTCATTGAAAGGATCAAATTAAAGAAGGCTATAGTAGAACGATTAAATATCACTTGTCAATGGTGTGGATGTGACCATTTTAGTTATGATTGCTATTTTAAACGATCTAACAAGTGTGTTGATTTTTTTGGTGATTTTCATAGCTAATAGTATAATTCTTATCCCCATACATGCAATGTTGATCCAAACACCTCATGGAATGATGAAGATATATTGGAGCCACAATCAAGGTTTCAAGCTCAAGAAGAGGAGTTATGTTTGGATAAAAAC